AGTACAGTAGTATTAGTACCAGTAGTAGTTAGTAGTAGTAGTAGTAGTAGTAGTAGTAGTAGTAGTAGCAGCAGTAGTAGTAGTAGTAGTAGTAGTAGTAGTAGTAGTAGTAGTAGTCGTAGTAGTAGTAGTAGTAGTAGGAGGAGGAGGAGGAGGAGGAGGAGGAGGAGAAGGAGGAGGAGGAGGAAACATGGCCTGAGGCGCGCCAATCCATCCGAAGAGATGCGTGGAAGCTTTGCTCGTGGAAGGGCCTCGCCACGAGCGAGCAGTGAGGCGAAGCCACGGGGACTTGGGCTCTGGGCTGTGACACCGCACGACTCACTGGTCCCCAGAGGCTCTCGAGCCCACCTTCTGCTTGTGAGGACTTCGCGCCGTGGGCACTTACCTCTGGGTGCTGGGGCCCGACACGGGCCCCCAGAGGGCGTCGAACGATTGATCGCCCCCTGCTGGCGCCGCCGCCGCTTCGAGGCGGCGCGAACCTGCCGTGGGCCGCCTCGGGCTCAAAGTCGGCCCCCAGACCTCCTCAACATGCCCTCCCGATTTCTTCGAGCCGCGCCCAGCTGCAACCACGACGGGGCGCGCCCCACAGCCCCATCAGGCTCCCAAACCTTCGCATCGCAGGAAGCGGCTGCCGCGTTCGTTCGCTCGGCTCGGAGCAGGGCGAGTTGAGACAGCGGCAATTCAAGATCGGTCCCCGTACACCTCTGGGGGTCCAAGCGCACCAGCTTCCCGAGCTGCGTCCGGCCGCGGCGACGAAAGCCCGAGGGGAAGAGGAGGAGGAGGAGGAGGAGGAGGAGGAGGAGGAAAAGGAGGAGGAGGAGGAGGAGGAGGAGGAGGAGGAGGAGGAGGAGCCCCCGAAGGCCAAACACCTGTGTCTCAGCTTGCCCTACTCTGATCGGCGCCGCCCTCGCCTCCTCCAGGGCGACGCAGCAGAAGCCCGCGGCGGCCACCAGGTAGGGCGCCAGCGCTGGCAACCTCAACGGCTCGTAGGCCTGCGCGCTGCGCGGCGCCGCTCTCCGCGACCGCGCCGCACCGGAGAGCAGAAATAAACACACCCGCACACTAAGCATCCCGACCAGGAGGATGAAGAGGAGGAGGAGAAGGAGGAGAAAAAGGGATTCAGGGATTCAGATCTATCGCGAAGCGAGTCCGATATAAATTAAGACCGAGCCTCCGTCTCAGCTTTACTGAGAGTTTTGGGCGTGAGGCCTTTGGCTAATCTGACAAGGTATGCCTTGCCCGTCTTGGTCGGGGGCTTGCATTCCTTGGCGAGGCCTCTCAGCTGCTGTGAGCCGACGCGCCCACAAAATCCGCAGAACCAGACTTCGAGAGGCTCGTGACAGCTCATCTGATGAGATGGATGGACCCACCCCCCAGCGAGATGTAAACGCCGCCCTTGAGGTACCCTAACAGTGTGGCTGGTGCACCGAGTGGGTTGAAAGCAT